TGAGCTCTAAATCCGACTCAAATCTTCTACCTCTCAATTCTTTTTTGACTTCAGGAAACAAATGGAAGTCACATGGGGCAAGGTCAGGAGAGTAGGGGGGATGAACCATAATTTCAACCCCTAATTCTTCAATTGTTCGTTGACAAATCATTGATCTATGAGCCGGAACATTGTCGTGATGCAGCGTCCAGCCAAAGTTCTGATAAAGCGGCCTTTTTTTCTTTAATTTTTCCTTTAAGGGTCCTCGAAGTACATTAGAATAGTACTCCCCTGTTACTGTATGTCCTCTAGGTACAATGTGATAGTAAATAACGCCAAATTTATCAAAAAAAATCAGGTGCATCACTTTACCAGCGCTTTTAGCCGTTTTGGCCTTCTGCGGTCTTGGGCTGCCTTTATGCTTCCATTGCATGCTTTGAGACTTCAATTCAGGATCGTAATGATAAAACCAACTTTCGTCACATGTAACCACATTATTTAAAAACTGTGGGTTACGTTGCAATTGCCTTTTCCACTGCTGACAAATTGTCACTCGATTCGCTTTTTGTTCATCTGTCATCACTTTTGGAATCCATCTTGCCGCGATCTTCCGGTACTCTAAATCTTCATGAATAATTTTTTGAGTGGTACCGTAAGACAAATTAACATTGTTAGAAATTCGTTTTATGCCAATCCGGCGATCATTTTGTATCAAGTCGTTAATTTCTGCAATTTTTGTGTTATTTATTTCTCGCAGTTTGTGGTCGACCGGGACGAGGTCGTCTTCAACTGATTCACAACCGTCTTTAAACTTTTTATGCCACTCAAACACTCTACATCGTGATAAACTATTATCTAGATATGCACCTTTAATCATTTCAAAAGTTTCAGTTGGTGTTTTACCCAATCCAACACAAAATTTTATCGCGTATCTTTGCTCCACTTTCATTTTTCGATGGGTACGCAAAACACTGACAATTCAATAATTAATTTGTAACAAATGTCAAAAGTTAAATCAAAGCCTACTTGCGGGGTAGTACATTAAATATAAGGCTTTCATGTCTCATTTTTTGGGTTATAAAATGTTACCTCTGAAAGAAGTTATAGCACCAGTCTCGTTATATACTGATATATCCTCGTAATAATATTCATAGTGCACTCCAGGAAGATAAATTGAAATTAGAAGACATTGACACATTCCCTGTGCATTTTCAAAAAATAAGTTTTTATACAATCGTATTATATATTATAATTATTTCAGCAATCATTTATACAGCTTCCAAATTTTATATTACAAAGAAGTTGACCGAGAAAAAGAAAAAAGAAAATCCTCAAGGATTTTCCGCTCATTTCGAACTCTGGTTCAACCCCATAGTTCTCATCTAGCCCCGAAGGAGTTATGGAAACAATCCCGCCGACTAATATAACAATAGTGTTTACGTTGCACTCTGGACTAAAATTATAAATATAAGTCAGAATAAAAAAAGATCAGATCATTGTTAGCTTTCGCTTAATAAAGGTATCACTTGAATTTTTGTTTTTTTAAAAAGTCTTTTTTGAAGTGCTCACACTTAATTCTCGAAAGTAGTATTTAGGCTCCACTCTCAAGTTGTAAATTTTAAAACTACTAAATTACCGTTACTCCGCAGGGGTTTCAGTTTGTAATGTAAATTTTCCTCTTAAGAATACCGTAAACTTGGCTACAATGTTCAATCAGATGTTTATGTTTCTGCCGAAGACGCTTAGCATTGGCTTGAGAAATTTTGTAAACAATCCTATCTGTCTTGGTTATTCGCTCCGTGCGAAGTCATGGAAAGGGAAGCAAAAGCGATACTAGCGCTAGCTGCGGATAATTCGTGCATTTTAGGGGGATATTTTGTAATTTTGGCATATCAAATACACGTATACATTTTACTTTTTTTCAAAAAAGTAGGTAAAAACAACACAATAAGCAGCCGGAGTTGCTGTGTTGAAAATTGTACAAATACTAGCAAAAAAAAACAGTGGAACTTATATAACAGATTTCACTGACAAAGTGGAAATTAAATCAAAGAAATAAATGGATAGGTGTACAATAAGAAGAAAAATTATCTTTATTTTTGTGATAATAACAGTAATGCTGGAAATAGTAGACATCAGAAACTAGAAAGTTTTTAAATAAACAATAAATTATCATTTTACGATGTTCTTTAATATCCCTTTATTCTTAAACGTTCATTCAGCAAGGACTAGATTTCAAGATTTCTGCCGTTGATTATAATATTTGGCTAGTATGCAATTTTGTGACTTACTGATCGGAAACCAGTTTTAATCATTCATTCTATGTTTTCTTTAGAACAAAAATGAAAATATAAGTAGCGATCCTTTTTATACATTTTAACTTCACGCTATTATAAATGGTTTCTTCAATGACAACTTATTAGACTTAGGCAACTTCTCATACATTTTCCAGTAAATAATGTTGCCTGCCTATATTTTATTATTGATTTTTAATGATTATACATAATTTTCTTCAATTTAAGCGTGAAAAATATATAATAATAATAAATTAATGTTTTAATTGTTTTATAAATCCATATACTTTTATTAAAACTAACATATATACTTTTTATTTACGAATTCTATTAAAAATTGTATTTGTCAGTATAGGCAGAAATACTCTTTTAATACCAAAACAAATTGGCGCTGCTGTCGCGCACGGAGCGAATAGATCTTTGGGTATCCCTGAGTAAAAATATTGTGTGTAGAACAAAAGTTAAAACGATTGTTTTCGGAATATACAGTATATAAAAATCGCTACCTACATTCTACTGGATAAGTAAAGAAAACTATTCGATTTGTGAAATCAGTGAGGTATATACAGTGTGTCGCATTTAAGATGAAGACACCCCTATATTTTGTGTATTTAAATTATTACAGATTTGAAGTTTTGCACAGTCATACAGCGTGATGGGTCACATTTTTTAAGATACTCAACTGGAATTTAAATTTTAAACGCGGCCTACTGCGAATCCAAAAACAGGGTCAATTTTCGATATTTTTCTTCGCGTTAAAGATATCAGAAAAAGTTATTTGAAAAAGTTGTTCCGAATATTATTCTAACTCCACATACCAAATTTTATGACAAAATTCGCATTTTTAGTTTTTTCATTATTTTGGTCAATACACAAATTTATTAAAAGTTGATTTTTTTTATTCGATAAACTAGTGTGCAATGAATAGGAATAATTTGATATTTTTGAAATCCTTTTCATGGCACACTAGTTTATCGAATTAAAAAAATCCACTTTTAATAATTTTGTGTATTAACCAATAATGAAAAAAAAAAAAACTAAAAATGCGAATTTTGTCATGAAATTTAGTATATGGGTTTAGAATAATATTCGGAACAACTTTTTCAAATAACTTTTTCTGACATCTCTAACGCGAAGAAAAATATCGAAAATTGACCCTGTTTGTGGATTCGCAGTAGGCCGTGTTTAAAATTTAAATTTCAGTTGAGTATCTTGAAAACTGTGAACCATCATCCTGTATGACTGTGCAAAATTTAAAATCTGTATCTACTTAGATAGTTAAAATATATGGGTGTCTTCATCTTAAATGCGACACACTGTATTATAGAAGTCTACCAAACATGGTTTTTAAAAAGGGGATTTCCTTTGGATAAAATTTCACTCTCTTTGGATTTAAGTAAAACCAAATAATAAATAATAATACTCACCTAATGTATCTATTCGGCACCATTGGTAGACACATCACACACTAAATACAATGTATAACAATGTTATTAATAATAAATAAACCGAACTACATATAAAAAAAAATTATATCCACGCGCACTTCCGATATATCTTTCGTTTGAAGGTGCGAGAAGTACTGATTCATTTTTAATACTTGAAATTTAAAAACCCTTTACATAATGGTATTAATGATTCACCAACGGTGGCTCATTCTAGACGATATCGAAAAAAAAAAACATATACTGATTGTCCCAAATTAAAATTATACTTTATATAAAATTCGAGGTCGGTGAAGTTGCCCCATCCCTAATGAAATATTTGTAAAAAAAACTATTACTATTCGAATTATAAGAAAATGATATTTGAAAAGTGCGTTTCGAAAATTATATTCCTTCTATTTATAAAGCGATTTGGATACAATTTCAGGTTTTTGTAATCTCGTTTTTTCGATCTCTCTGTTCTCATAGTCGTTTGACAACAACAAAAACTGACTCGGCCATATTTTTTTGTTTAATCAATTAACAAGAACTTAATGAATATTTGATATAAAAATTATATTTATAATCGCATTCTAAATGTGTTTTTTTATCCCCAACAAATATTTTCTGATCTCAAAATTCGTTTCTAAAAAAAAATTTTTTTTTTAATTTTTTAAGTTTTATTTCATACATAATACATCTAACTACCAAGAGATCTAATTATCAAGTAAATAATTCACATAAAAATGTTGTAAAACAGAATAATGAAATAAGATGCGCGATAACAGTTTGTAAGAAAAATAGTCGTTGACTCTTCAATTCCCATAAGGAAAGTTGACGTAATTCATATATATCTTTTACCTTTGAAATTTTTGCAGTTCCTTTTGTAGTGAATTTAGGATTGACGTTTTCTTATTTATGCATTTTGTATGCAACCGTATAAGTGTCTAATTTCACATTAAACTGCTTTTCACAAATTATTTTTCCGTAATTTTCGATATTTTTAACTTAGTTTGGGTAGCGTTATAAACAATAGTTTCAGCCTCGTTGCCACCATAAATCATTTCACTGATTTCTGAAGCAACTAATAAAAAATCTAATTTTCATATTGCCAACAAACAAAACAAATAATTCGAAAATGATATAGAAAGTACTTATTTTGAGCTTTTAAACAAATGACAATTCCTTTCATTATCTGAATTATTAATAATGAAGGTAAAGGGAAATGGAAATTTTAAGTGCCTTTTCATGATCAACAATGAATTAATTATATGATAGTAATGATTGTTTATTTTACATTTAGATCAGAAATCTTGCTGCTCCAGAACTGTGCGTCGATTCAGGATTTAAAGATAGAGATCAAGTGATTGCTGTAGCCCCATGTATATCGGATTCCAAGAATAAATTAAAAGGGGAACAAAACTTCACTTTAACGTGGCATAAGGATTTAAGAGTCAAAGGAAAATCCATCTGTTTGGACGTGTCCGATCCCAATGATAAGGCTGATGTAACATTGTACCCTTGTCACGGCAGTAAGGGCAACCAATATTGGAAATATGATGTGGTGAGTAAAATTATTAATTAGAATTACTATTAGAGTAAAACCTATAATTATAACGCATATCTAAAAAAAATTAAAACCGCAGAGTGCTACTGAAGACCGAATAAAAAAAAGCAACTGAAATCATGGAATCATCATTCGAAATATACCGTAAAGTAGAAAAATGACCCCCCTCAGATGCCCAGACTATGCACACAGTTAAAATTTGACGCTTTTCTTTTTATCTATTCTTGAGCTATCGTGGGTACAAATATCAACACACATGCAGACAGACATTATTTTATAAAATGAATTCAGGAGACTCCAAAACATAAAAATCCATCAAAAACTCGAGGTTAAAAAATCGTGATATTCATATGTTTCTTACTAGTTACGGAAAAGTAAAAAATAGTGGATTATTTTAACATATTAACAAAATGCAATTACAGACAATACAGTTTAGAATACTTTAAACTTAATATTCAGGGTGTTCAGAAACGATCTTAAAAGAATGAAACCACGAAATCTAGAGCTGATTTTATGACGATTTAGCGTAAATTACCTTAATCCACAAATGCTGCCTAAGGGAGCTAAAGCTTTTTTGCAACCCTTTTTTTTGTGGAGGGTAAATCCTCGTGGACCCCAGGTGCTTGGTTCAATCGCATCTGGGAGTGTGAAACTCCGGCTTTTGGGTGCAGTGCCAGCCTACCTACTAAAAACTCTCCTCATCAACCTGGTATCGTCTTTTTGAGACATTCTTCGGAATACTAAGTGGCATTCAAAATTTTCTCACCCGTTTATGTCCTTTATGCTTGTGGTATTCTTTCCTCTTCCTCTTTCCTGTGTAGGATTTCCTTTGCGATCTTTTGGATAGCCTCCAATGTGTCCTCCAAAATCATGGCATCCCACAGGCTATTCTCATTTAAAACCGCTCCAATTGTACCGCACGCCCTTTGCCTTGCTAAAACCCAGCTGTTGAAGTAGAAGATCGTGTGTACAGTATAATAATAATAATAATGTTTATTTACCAGAAATATATACATTCAGATACAATAAAATAAAATCCAATAGGAAATAAAATGTAAATAAACAAGAAATGTGTCACTGAATCTGCTCACTGTACAAAGTACAATGACAGATTATGTGTGACAAAAAATACGACAAAATAAAAATAAATAAAACTTATAACTATAACAATACAATAGTAAAAATTTAAAAATATGAAGCAAATAATTAAAATACAAATTATTAATATAAATAAAAGTTATATAAATACAATCTTTACACTTTGATATTAAGTAAAATTTATTTCCAATATACCTCGGCATAAGTATCTCATACAAAAAACATTACTTCTACATAGACAAAGAACATTTTTAAAATATTCAGATTCTTTAACGTTTATAATATACTTTCCAATTATTTAATGTCTATTTTTTTATCCAATTATATTACGGAAAAAAGTTCGCGGTGTTTTTGCTATAAATTCTTTTACATATCTTTTAATTTTTTTATTGTTTTTATTTCTCGGAGCTCCGTTGGAATGTAATTAAAGATTTTTGGTCCCAAAAACCGATAGCTATTTTGTCCAATTGATTTATTCGTTCGTGGTAGCAAATAATTGTCTCTATTTCTTGTATCATATTGATGCAACGGTGTTTGCAGTTCATCTTGATTTTGAAATTGATGGGTGAGTGCTGCTTGACAGAATAACTGTCGTAAGTCAAATATTTGGGTTTCTTGATACACATTTTCAGTAGGATATCTTCTATTTTTGTTTTGCAATATTTAAAAAAAAATTTAAATAATCTCGATTGGCTTTAAGTGCGTTTTAGTGACTCCACCCCAACCAATTATTCCATAGTTGAGATGAGATTCGAAAAGGCTATGATACAAAATTCTCTTCTGTAGTAATTCTAGCATTGGTGATACTTGTATGAATTTAAATAAGACACTTGTTTAGTAAGTATTGAGTATGTTCGTCGCAGCACAAGTGGCTATCTACTATTATCCCTAAATATGTAATTTTATTTTCAGGTAGTATATATGTGTCGCTCCCGATCGTTCTCGAAGTATGCACACATCTGTAACTCTCTTGCAATTTTTTTTCTTATACGCCATAAACTACCGTTAAAATTTGTGTAATAAGTCCAGGTGTCTATACTGGCATTTATACAACCTTACCACATCTTTAAATATGCTCATTGTCAACTGATCTTTATCTGTGGTATTCCACCATTGGTTCTGCCACCTAGTTTGGGTAACCTCTCGCTCTAAGTCATTTGCATCTCTATCGTTGACCATTCTGTAGACTCTTTGTCTTTCGAATACCTGCAGGTGGATCGGTATCGTAACTGCGATGACCTGAATTGCCTTTAATGCAGTAGTTCGATAGGTGCTGGCGACTTTCAATGCGATCTTCCGTTGGACCGTCTCCATCATTTTACTATATGTTGCTACATTTAATCCCGTATGGATGATCCATACAGTAATATGGAGTATACCACTTTGTTTGCGGCCATTTCTATGTGTTTGTCGTCTAGGACAAATCCCAGGTACTTTGCCTTTCTTTAAAGTTCCAATTGAATTCCTGTAAAGGAGATTTGCGGCCTTTCACTGTCGGATTTTTTCCAAAGGACCTTTAATAATTGTAAACCTCTGTCTTTTCTGGGGCTAGTTCTAAGTCTAAGGCTTTTTAGCCAGCTGGTGATGTGCCTCAGCGCTAGTTTCGCCCTATTTTCCAGCTGATCCTGATCACGGCCTCTGACCAATATGGCTAGGTCGTCTGCAAAGCCTATGCTTTTCGTTCCTTCTCCCAGGTTGGTTCGTATTATCTCGTTGTACAATATATTCCAAAGGATTGGATCCAGTACAGACCCTTGAGGAACTTCCGCCGTTACGTTCATTGTTTCCTTATCTATCGTTATTTCTCTGCCTTGCAGGTAACTTTCCGGTATATTTCGTTGATATTCCCTTCTTCCTAAGTTATTCCATGATAAGGTCCCATGAGGCTGTATTAAATGCGTTTCTAATGCCTAGCGCTATTAGTGCTATCCACCTGTCGCCCCCTTCTGTCACTTTCTTTCTTATTTCCTCTACTGCATGGAGTGTGGATTTTCCTGGTTTGAAACCAAACTGATTCTCTGACAGTCCCCTCTTCTATCGATTTCTTCCTCCAATCCCAGCTTTAATAACTCATCGAAAACCTTACTGATTCCATTCACTAGACATCTGGGCCTATACGATGTTGGGTGTCCTGGTGGTTTCCCGGGTTTTTGAATGAGCACCAGATTTGTTATATTCCACTTCTTTGGAAATTTCTGTTTCCTCAAGTAGTAATTGTATATTATGAGTAGAATATTTGGGGCAATTTTACCTGTTTTCTTCAAGGATTTTGTCAGGTCCAGGGACTTTTCCATTTTTGGCCTTGTTTAAATATCCTTTTGATTTCGTCACTTATGAAGGGAATTACTTTCACTGGCAGGTCTATCGCTCTTATTCTATTTTCCATATATCGTCGCTTATACATCGAGGAAAAAGTCTCAATGCTTCTAACGACCTTTCCAATCGTATCTTCTGAAGGAAGTGTCTATTTGGATTCAACGTTATGTTGTCTGTTATGAAATCTAAGTACCTCAGTCTCATTAAAAAATAAACCAAGACTATTAAAGTAACTTGACATTTTTTGAGCGATGTTGGAGCTCTCTTTGTTTAATAGATCCGCATTTTTAGCTGAAATTATAGCTGAGAAATCATCTTAGCTTACGTAGTGATTATTGCTTATTAATGAGTCGACATTTTTTACATGCAGTATGAATAATGTGTGTCCGAAAATTGAACCCTGAGGAACTCCCTTATTAATATCTAGTGTATCAAAATTAATAGTATTAATTTTGTTATCATTTTGTACTTTTAAAGAAATATATTGCTTCCTAGCACATAAAAAGATTGAGATCCAATTTACACAATCGAATGCTTGTCTGAGATCATAAAAGATAGCAGCTGAGCATTCAGATTTCTCTAAATGGTGAATAATTTTATTGTAAAATGAAAGCATAGTAGTTGTTGATTTTTCAGCACATAATCCATGTTGATTTCCTGTTATAATGTTGTACCTTTTTAAGAAAGACAGAAGACGATTAAGAAAGGCATATTTAAAGATTTTAGACAGACCACAGGTCTATAGTTTTCTATTTGTCTACGATAATTTTTCTTGTGCAATGGTAAAATTTTCCCCAGTTTTAGAACTTGAGGAAAACTTCGGCGATTCTCAAAATAAAGCCTGGAAATAATTTAGATGTAATTTTACACACGATTTTAAACACATTTTGTTTGCAGGAAAAACAGTGGTTCCTGCATGGAGGCAATCCCAGATGTTTGGATTGTGATCCGGGCCAGAAGAGGCTCTTTGTTAGATCTTGCGACGAAAATTCTAAAACCCAAAAATGGCGATTCGAGAATGTCAATTTAACGATGATTGCTGATTGGGAGAACATTGGCATTAAATAGTAATTAAAAATATATATACAGTTTGTTCCATAAAGTTGGATCTATATGGGAATTTTTTTAATATTACGATTGGACAAAAAAAATAGTTGACATTAATTTTCTGTCAAAATGGCATTTAAAAAAAAATGTTTTTAAAAAAGTATTGAATTTTAGGTTTTTAATAAAGCAGAGTTGAATGTCCTACAGCGGTTTTTCCAATTGTAATGTTAAAAAAATTCGCATAAGTATCCAACACTGTATAAAAAAAAATAGGTATTATGTAGAGATGGTTAAGACATTTTCCATTTTCCTGTAAATAAATAATTTTCTTATCTTATCCATCTCTATAAAATAATTTTTAAACGTAATATACACATATTTAGCCGTTCTTAATTCAAAGGGACCAGTTTTTATATACATTGTAAATATATACATTTTAAGTTTCGTATTTTTTCATATTGTGGTTCCTACATTTATTTATTTTACTATAAAGGGAGGGCCAATTATTTACTCGCTGAGTGTAGCGCCGAAACTAATTGAGATTTTGAAATGAAACATAAACTTTTTATTTGGTTTGAAAATCTATCTAATAGGAAAATAGTTTCATTTGTACTATGGTTTACGTTTAAGTGGAAAATGTAGTTGATATTTTTAAATTTTTTAATTGCTATTTTAGTGGCATTTTTAGATAAAAGAGACCAGGATGTAACGCAAACACCTGTGTTTAACCTCAGTAATGCCAACTATTTTTTTTTTTTTTTGAGAGATCATACAAGTAGAGTAGAAAAATGGTTATTAGCCAATTTTTCGGGAAAAAAAACGTACAATAGGTACATATGCTTAATATACTTAAACAGAACGAAAAAATACATGAAACTTTAAATTAACACACTTAAACTATCACTGTCACTTGATTGAAATTTTGCATACAAGCTTTTGTTGTGCCGTAATAAGTAGAACAAAAATGAATACGTTCAGAATCTTTGCAAGTAGTTTTTGATTTTTATTGTTTCATATTTTGAATTATTGTAAGTTGTTACAGATATTTAGATGAACTTACTAAAAAAGGAAAGATCGTATTTTTGCGTACGATCTCACTGATGTGATCGTACATCGTATAGAGCGTTAAAAAAAATCGTATAAATGCGATTTAAATCGCACGTTTGGCAACACAAGGTTAACGGAATGGGGGAACTGGGAGGAGACCCGAACTCTGTGACAGGAACGGCCTTTGTTTATTACCATCATAATGAACTATTAGATATACTAAAAAGGTGTTTAATGGGATATTGTATTATGAAATAAAATTAACGCGATTTTCCATTATCAAACAGATGCAGCGGCATTCTATGTAAAGAGAAGACAAAAGTTCTTTTATAGAATATTTCATTAGCGTTTATTTTCTATAGATTACAATAAAATGTTGAAATGTCAATCGAGCAAGGAATGGTACTCATTGTCTACGAGTATTATAATAGCAGCATGTACGCAGGCGAATACTGCAAATCAAACTTTGTAAGTTGAACATTATATTTTTTCTACGGCTATTTCATGATATTAAAAATTAGTGAGAATATGCTGTTATTTATAGTAACCTCAGAAAAAGGTATATTAATATAGAGGATGTCACGTAAGTCTCTAGAAATGCATATTTCTGAAAACGGTTATTTTAAAATTTAAACCTAATAAAAAGCATTCGGTCGTTAGGGATGAGCGATTATTGATATAAATTATCAATCATTGAAAATAATCGATTATTTTTAAATCATCTTTTTCTATTGGTATTTCCTTTAAAATCTATTATTCGATAATCTTTAAAAAAACGAAAATAATCGATTATTCAAAAATAATTTAATTATTAAAAAGCCGACTAACCTTTAAATCGATTTCTCAAAAAAAAATAACCTAAATAATCGATTGTTCGATTATCTTCGAATACCAAAAATAATCGCTTAATCGAAAAGAATCGATTAATGGAAAATATATGATTAATAAAGAAGCCAATTCTACGAAAAATCGAAAAAAAAAAATCAAAATAACGATTCTTTTAAATAATTACTATTATTAAATAATCTTATTTTTTTTTTTTCGTATTTCCCTTAAAATCAATTCGATTACCAAAAATACTGATTATTTGAAAATAATCGATTAATTAAGAAGCCGATAAGTTTTATTTAAAAAAAAAATAACTGAAATATCGATTATTTTAAATAATCGATTATTATCAAATCTACTTTTTTTCATATTTCCCTTAAAATTGAATATTCGATAATAATCGCTCAATCGAAAAAATCGATTTATTAAGAAGCCGATTCTACGACAAATAAATCTCATTTTCAAAAAAAAAAAAAAAAAAAAAAAAAAAAGCCGAAATATCGATTATTCGATTATCTTTGAATACCAAGAATAATCGATTATTCGAAAATAATCGCTTAATCGATTAATTATTCTTTTTTTTGTATTTCCTTTAAAATCGTTTATTCAATAATCTTTGAAAAATCGAAAATAAATCGATTAATCAAAAATATTTAAATATTTAAAAATCATTTATTAAAAAAACCGAATAATTTTTAAATCGATTTAAAAAAAATATAACTGAAATATCGAATATTTTAAATATTCAATTATCAAATAATCTTTTTTTTTCGCATTTCCCTTAAAATCGATTATCTTTAAATACCAAAAATAATCGCTTGATCCAAAATAATCGGTTAATCGAAAATTATCAAATAATCGAAAATATTGGATTAATTAAGAAGCTAATTCTACGAAAAATCTCATTTAAAAAAAACGAATTATCGAATATTTTCAAATACTTTTTTTTTCGTATTTCCTTTAAAATCGGTTTTTCGAAAATAATCGCTTAATTGAAAATAATCGATTAATTAAGCCGGTTCTACGATAAATCTCATTTTCCAAAAAAAAAAATAATCTATTTTCTTTTCATATTTACTTTAAAATTGATTATTCGATTATCTTTGAATACTAAAAATAATTGATTATTCCAAAATAATCGATTAATTAAGAAGGCGATTTTACGATAAATCTCATTTTTCAAAAAAAAATAACCGAAATATCGATTATTTGAAATAATCTATTATCAAATAATCTATTTTTTTTTTCGTATTTTTCTTAAAATCGATTATTCGATTATCTTTAAATACCAGAAATAATCGATTATTCAATAATAATCGATTATTCAATAATAATCGATTATTCTATAATAATAGTTTAATTAAGAAGCTGATTCTATGATAAATCTCATTTCCAAAAAAAAAAAACGAATTATCGATTATTTTCGAATAATTTTTTTTTTTTGGTATTTTCTTTAAAATTCATTATTCGATTATCTTTGAAAACTCGAAAATAATCGAAAAATCGAAAATAATTAATCGAAAATAATCGATTAATCAAAAACAGATTGACCGATAAATCGATAATTCTAAAAAAATAACCGAAATAAAATAACCGATTATATTCGATCAATCGATTATTTTTTCGTATTTCCTTTAAAATAAATTATTCAAATAATTGATTAATTAAAAAAGGCGATTAAACGATTAAACGATAAATCGAGTTTTCAATAAAACTATTTTCTTTTTGTATTTCCTTTAAAATCTATTATTCCATTATCTTTGGAAAAACGAAAACAATTTATTGCAAGTATTCGAATAAATAAAAATAATCGATGAATTATAACGAATAATCGATTGATTTTGTAACCTCTATCGGTTGCTTGCTTTTATCCGAGTAAATTTAGAGATTCGCATATTTTTGATCCCAATTGACCGCAATTGATTGTATAATAAATATTGCAAGAATTTAAGATTTTTTAGTAAACAATTTTTTTTTTTTCGGGATGTTTGTTTATAATGTAATATTTTAGTAACAATGTGACTAACTCCCGTAACTTTTTAGTTTTTTTTTTTTCCTTATATTAGATCATATTGTACGTTTTAATTTGTTACAATTTAACGATTGGCTCCTAATTCTAAAATTTTACTCGTGGGCCAGGGTAGTTTTTTTGTCAAATCTTTGCAAAAGAAAGTGGTAATATTGTTTTTGAAGAATTAAATTGCTATTAAGGAGTTTTAACAAACAAAAAAGACATGTGCCCTATTGGTTTACGCAATTCGTGGAAAACAAAAGTAAAGTTTACTATAGACCGCGGTTCCCAAAACCGTTAAAATTATATTTAATTTCCAAAAATAATAAATTAAACAGCGTTTTAATTATCAAACATTTTAAATATTTACAATTATTGTATTTCCGAGAAGAAGCATGTAATTTGAAAGAATAAACACATATATGTCGCATTTTCAGAGCATGCAGAACAAAATAGACTATTTCTTTTTTGTCTTCTTCATGGTTATATTTGCAAATTTAAAATAACATATTCAAAAATAGTAAAAAGTTTATTGAAGCAATTGGCAAATAAGCAATTTTTATTAGTACCTACTATAACCTAGAACAAAATACAAAAAAATCCCAACCCAAGGCAACTTTTTGTTTCCCAGGGACCAAATCAATTGTTCGACACATTCAAAAACTATTTAGTTGCGTTCCTGACAGGCCCACATTACTTAAAACATGGCTATTCACTGTGCCCAAATAGGGATAAACTTTGGGAACACTTTGTTGCTCATTCAAATAACCCTTTTCTTCCAAAATTTATTCCCCACATTACAAATTTTAACAAGGATGGGGGTTTTCCGACACTCCTTTCCAGAATTGGTATTAATATTTCTGTCAATGCGACAATTCTTCTTTTGCTGTGATATCAACCACATAATTTTTTTCTTGTAGCCACCATAATTCTTATCGTTCATATTTTCTTAAAAAACTTTCTTCCATAGATATCCTTTTTCCATTAAATATTTCTATTTATTAAATTCATTTAATGAGAAAATATATAACTTAATTATTGAAATTTTAATTAAAGAAAATATTACAACAAATTATTCGGTTTACAAAAGTTTTTGGTAAAAAAAACTACGTTTAGATGCCAATTCTCAAAAAAAGGTCACACGGTCTGGGCAGAAGCTACCGTGTGCACCATATTGATGCACATGATCGTTAACGTGTTAAAATTCAAATGTCACATCCGATTTGACCTCAAATAAAGATGATCTTTGATATTTTAAGTAGATCGTCCTGTATTTTATCTAACATTCTTATAAAAATAAAATTTTGCTAGCAACTATGCTTCTTTACTTCTAATTTATCTATCTAAAAGGGCTAAAAACCATCTTTAGTAAATATTTTTTTAAAACTACTTTTTTAAATAAAATTTCGTTAGCAACAATTCCTATTTTCTTCTTATTTACATTGAATATTAAAAAATGTGCCCGTCAGTAAATTTATGTAAGTACTATGAAATCTGTTTTCTAAAATGTTAGATTCTTAATGTTTATTAAAACCCCTTGATGCGGATCTGAAGTATTCAACCCAAAGGATTATGGCGGCTTTATGTCAAAACGTTAATAAATATTTACTGCTGAAAACAAATATATTTTTTATTTTTCATAACATTGGCACTTATATTATCTGTATATAGAATTTTTCACGATATTGAACAATAAAAAACTCTAAATTATTAATAATACCAACAAATAATTTAAAAAACTGCGGTCCACGATGACTCACTCACGCAGAGATGAGCGTTAGAAGAGAAATGTCGGAACAATTCGGGTGGCGTCGTGGAAACAATCAGTGTAGTTATTGCGTAATATGACGTATTGAAATAATTACCTATGAAGTATTGTTCAAGTAACTTATTTTTGAAATGTTTAGATTTTCAGAAAATGTCAATTTTGTAATGTAATTTGCAAAAATAAATCGCTTTTCATTGAAATAACAATCCAAAAACATGTAAAAATATTACAGGGTATTTCAGCCACTTACATATTTAACATTCTGTACAAATGAAACAATTTTTCGAATTATAGTGATTTTGGAACCAAATAAAACTATTTTTGTTCCATTTAGATTTTTATAATTTTTTTTTACATTACATTCTGCGGGAAAGATCACTGGCCCACCCTATATATATTATAGAATTGTACAAACCAAGCGAATGAATTTGTTAAAGCTTATTATTACTCGTATAAGAACTTTATTGCAAGAAACTATGATTTTTTGGTAAGATTTTAAAAAAAGTATCTAGAGTGTTTCGTTATTTCGAAAATAGTTACAGGCAGTCAAAACATAATATACAGGGTATTTCTAAAGATAAGTCTTTATTTTTAATGTCTATCTTTGGATAAAGAAATTAGAGAAAAAAATATCTTTAACTTCTTTTTTGTTTTCTATAGTAAATTTAAAATACGTGCTTCTTTCCCTGATATAAACTGCCCCAAATTGTCTGCGTTAAAGTTGTTACAAAAATTGGCTCGTAATTATGAATCATTACATGCACTAACATTTTTTCGGGCCTTTTAACAATATCCGTTCACCGTAGCGTTCAGTGACTTTTTGGAAATTTGTCGGGTGCTTAATGTTGGACTACTTTCAACGAGATATAAAATGTGTTCTTCAACTGGTACGTTTTTCTGTAATTATTCAGTGTCTGGCCTATGCAAAGTCTTACAAATTCACGTGATAAAGCAGCTGCATTTTCACGGCATTCCCCGTACACTAATAACATATCCACTAAATTGTTTACATAATACCTTGTAGTTATTGCAAAGCAGAGAAGTTTAATAATTTCTGAACGAAACAGATGTTGTTTTAATAATTTATACAATATTTACTACTTATTAATACTTTATTGTACAAGTAATTCTTTATTAGGTATTACACATTGATCTGGCAACCTAGGGATACGACATGCGTAAGCGAAAAGTGGGACCGGTCCGCCATTACTGTGAGTGCAAATTGTCAAATTTTATAGGTTATATTTTTAGTGTCATTTGTGTAATTAAATTTTAATTTAATTTGTGTTTGAGCAAATTTTGAGTGTTACAAACTTATAAACTATATAATGCCTTGCTGTGTTATACGTTCCTGCTCTAGCGATAGACGGTTTTGTGAAAAATCGACTGGAATAACGTTTCATAGGTTAGTATCAAAATTATAAATATTATACAGGACAGTATTATGACAGGTTTGTATAAAATGTGTAAAAGTATGTTTTTAAAAATGCAAAAAAAATCATCTATCAAC